CCGGAAGGTGTTATGTGATCAGTATGAATGGAACAGCTTTGATCAAATTTGCAAATATTTCCAAAGTAGGTGATCTGGGTGCTGCACAATTTGTGAAAAAAAATCCCCTCAACGTGCCTCCCTGCTGTGGACACCCCAACCTGTGGTAACGGTGCGGCCCAACCAGGGGTTGTGGTGGTGGTCGCTGGCCTAGGTAACGGTGCGGCCCAACCAGGGGGTTGTGGCAGTGGTCGCCGGCCTAGGTAACGGTGCAGCCTACCCGGGTGGTTGTGGCAGTGGTCGCTGGCCCTATGTTCCTAAGATGAGGCCGGGGTTCGGGGATTTTCTCAAAGCTGGTGTATTGAGAGCTTCTTCTTAGTATAAAAACCGTGGGGCGGTCTTTCCCCCACCGGCCGAGTTTTTTCTTTGGGTTAATGCTCTTTAATTCTTCCACTGCACAGATTAACATTCTTTTCTGTCAAATCAGGTCTATGTCTCAACTGTACAAGCCAATAACTATCCAATCACTTGCACGCAATGGCATCCTGAGGTAATTTAGTTGTAGTTGTTTTGGGTGTTCCATATTAATATGTTCTTATTGGCTCTGCCTTTTTTTCTTGTGCACTGCATTTTTTCTAAAATTAATGTTCACAACATATCAAATTGTGGCCACTCACCAAATACCAATGGCTTCATACAACTATACAACTGTCCTCATTTAATGCAGAAAGCCATTTTTGAGTGGAGGAAACCAATGATTCCACACAGCGAAGATGCAGTACAGGTTACTCAACATTTTGCCAATCATTTTATCAGGTTCGTTTTTGTAGGCTGTAACCTCTATCATACAGTTCAAGTTGGCAATACTTCATCTGGTTATTTCAGGGTCTACCCACCCCCTTTATCATTATTTTGTGGAGATGTACCAGAAATTGATCAAACACTACACGTCTTTTCTTTGGCTGTCAGTCAGTCTGTTGTTCTGTTACCTTTGAAACTCCCGTTTTCTAAATAAATAAACCCAAGTTTTAGTAGTGTTCCTTCTCAGGAATTCTGGTCATAGTGCTTTGATGTCTTGGTTTAATCATATGCAAGAAAGGACCTTGTTTTAATGAAACTTGCAAGAGCGATGAAAGAAAAATGGAGTTCATGCTTACCTCACCCTTCTATGTGTCGTCAAACAGCCAAGCACGCAAGTCTCCAAACAGGCCCCCTGCCGACAAAGTGTTGGATTACTTAATTTACAACTACAGCCCGACATTTAGCGGAAAAAAATCGTGAGTCTCTGTATCTTTATTCTTTACCCCCAAACCGATGTACAATCCATTCATCAGCTAGACTAATTCATGTATTCTTGGTAGGAAATCGTTTGAGGAGGTCTACATCTTTGCCTGAGACTGAAGTGGACGCCTGGGTGTCTTCAGGAATCAGCACTGCATTGCTATTGTTTGGGGGTCCATTGTACTGTGATTGTGTATTACGCGTGGTACCTGGAAGTGTACAGACTTCTTGGACTGCCTGTATTGCAGTAACCTTTCCGGGTAGCTCTATAATATGTATATAAGCAGGAATAGTAATGTAATGAACTGGAAAATACTTGTACAGAGATTTTCTGAATCTAAAAGTGTCTCCAAATCAGGTGAAGGTTGAATGTTCTTGGATCAGATCCATGAAATCCATCGAAACTGAGTTGAATGTACTGGGCTCGTTGTGCATGTGTTCCATAGACTCTTGTTTGGAGTGACGTCTCCGCTATGGCGCTATGACTTGGCACAAGCATCTTGGCATCTTGCGCCCAGAACGTCGCCTTGTTACCTGGCCGGCCGCCGGCCGAGTCACTGTGCATACCGTTAGCAGCAGTAGCGGAGCATAGTAGGATTGGAGAATTGTAGCAGGGATCGGGAAGAACAGAGCAAGGATAGGAAGCACGGAGGAATGCTTAATTCGGAGAGGTTTGTCGAGTTCATACGATCTTTACCATCCAGTGCTCGCATCACAGGGTTTATAATTTTACTAGACTGTAGCATTGCCCCTAGCAGACATATATCCTTACATTGCAGTGGAATATGCAACTTGCGCCATCTGTTTCAAACTTACTACGTACGTCTTAAAAATTTGACTATTTTCCATGATTGGATGTGCTCACTCAAAATATGGGCCGTGAGTTCAGATTAGGACTGGACAATAAATCAGTCGGGCATGTTCGGCTGGTATTAAAGCCGGCTGAAATTGTTTTGTTGTGAGAAAAAAATAATATAGATTCTAGCTGATAAAACGGATGATAAGTTCAAATGAACAGACCGATTTGATTCATTACGTACTCCTATTCTTAGTAAAATCAGGCAAAACTCTCATGCTCGAGGGGGTGGAGGGGTAGATGGATTCGGGAGAAAAAGTGAAGAACGAAAATCGAAGGGAAAGAATGCTTAAAGTATGCTCTAGTATGTGCGAGGCTTTCTAAGTGTCCAATAGAGGTTCACATGGCCGGACAATCCAATATATATAGCTCCCAAACACCTACACTAGCCGTTTTATATATCCCCCATATGCACTTTTTGTATTGCAGAGCTCTGGCGGTGCAACAGAGTTTGGCACCGGAGTTATCTACATGAGAGTTTCGGTGCACTGTGCTACTTTCGCCCTTAACCTCATGCGCTGTGGTCTTTCTCCAATGCAACACCGGAAAATCCGGTAGGTTCTACTAGTTTTTGAGTTCTGTTCGCTGATTTGGTGTGAGAAAAAAACATTGTTTATTCGTTAAAATAGTACGGCTTATGAGACCAGTGAAAGGCCTTAAGAATTAAAAACACTATCTCTGGACTCACTCTTCGGTGCAAAGCTCCGGTGGTGCACTGGACAATTCGGATAGGCACTTGCACTATTCTAAAATTCCGGTGACTTCTCTGCTGTGAGCACTAGAACTATGCAGTGACATGCTCAGAGTTGCTACGGTTAAGCACTGTTACGTAACTCCGGTGGTTTCTCCGGTTGTCACGGCCATCCACGGCGAGCTCAGCAAACTTGCTCTTTGCAATGTCCGATATGTCCTGCAACAGCCGAGGCAGCCGGTGAGCAGAGCAGCTCGTCCAAAGACTTCTCAGTTGTTTATTTCCTACATATCCACGCGCACGCACATGTGTTCATGATTCACACACATAAAATATTTCGCAATAATTTTGATACTAGCTAAAAATGCTTTGTATAGCGGTGGTAGGTTGAGTAGCTTCAAGCTATGTACTCTCATAGCCTCACGTGGGGAGTAGATAAATAAATTACTTAGGTCGTGTTTGGATGTTATTGAATTCACTTTAATCCACGTGTGTTGGGTTAGATTATGATAGAACTTAGTTAAATTTTTACTCTAATTCACTTCAACACCTGTAGATCGATGTGAATCCGATTACATCCGAACGAGACCTTAAATGGATTCAGATCACGTGCATACATGATGGGTGTGCATGTGACTTGAGGTCTTCGCATTGTTCTCACGTGCGCACTCTCATGATAAGGAGGTGAGAGCCTGAGATTTGTTACTCTTTTGTGCGGTACATGCATGTCCTCACGTGTAGCTAGGGCAATGCTCGATTGCTATTGCTTCCCTTCTCGGTTCTCGCGCGACGATAAAGCATCCTGCTCCCTGCGACTGCGAGCAATGCACGGCACGGCGTTTCACGTGGCGGTGGCGCCGCACACGCGAGTCGAAGGTGTGACTTCGGGCTTGTTTGCCAGCGCTAGGAGAAGCCGATCCAAGGCGAGCAGCGCGCGCTCACGTTGGCACAGCTGATCGAGATGGCAGGTGTGCGGCTTTTTTGTTTGTTTGTTGTTTGTTTACACCATCAGTAGCACTGACAGCTAACCATTTGTTCAAAATAAAATACGGATGAGATTGTCTGAGCAGATTCTAGAACACGAGTAACTCACGCACACATTCCTACTCACACACGTTCTCGGTCCCCTTTGAAAAAAAAAATTCCCTGCAATGCAGCACCCACTCTCTCCACAACACGAGCGGGCGACGCACGGCGGCAAGTCTTGCCAATGGACTCGCGCCGCTGCACTCACCTGCTCCTCCCCCTCCTCGCCCCACCGTCGTCGGGGGCAACAGCTGCACCGGGGGTCATCCGGCTGCGGACGAGCGGGAAAGCGGGGGCTACAGCCTACGCCGCGCCGCCGCCGGACCCCGCCGTGTACGACCGCCCTATCATCAGCATCGTCTCGCACCCGGGGGACGGCGTCGGCGGCAGGATCTGCAACACCACCGCGACCTCCTACATCGTCGCCTCCTACCACTACGTGAAAAACAGTTTGTAGCAATGGGGCTTTTTTAGGGGCAGCTGACATTGGAGCAGCCCCTACAGTGGCGTGCTCGGGCTCCAGCACAACGGCCGCCCCTACAAATGGCACAATAGGGGCGGCTGGTAATACGAGCCACCCCTACAAATGCGTCGATTTGTAGGGACGGCTGGTATGTAGAGGCGGCTATTACCAACTGCCCCTGCTGTGTCCATTCCAGCGGACTCCATGCCCTCACACGTCCGCTAGTCCGCTCACTTCCTCCATCCCCTCGTCTCTCTCTCTTCGTCTCCCTCCCCCTGATGGAGAGCACATCGCCGCCGCCACCGCTCCTCGTCTTCCGCCTCCGCCACCGCTCCTCATCCTCCTCCGCCATCGCTCCTCATCCTCCTCCGTCATCCCCCTCGTCTCCTTCTCCTCCGCCACCGCTCCTCCACCACACTCTTCTCTGCAGAGTGGAGATCCCCTCCTCTCCTTTTCCCTCTCAGATCTAGATCTAGAAGGGTGCGGAGGTGGGGCTTCCACTGCGTGACGGGAGGGGGGGGGATGGAGAGGGTGCGGCAGGGCAGAATCCCTCATGACGGGGCTCGCGTTGCCTCGCACGGTCGCATCCTCTCGTCCTCTCTGCGCCAACCCGGCTCTTCTTCCCCAAATCCTCCTTCCCCGATCCAGTCCCACGGTGACGCCGAGGGAGAGCGAGAAGAGACAGACACATATCGTGTGCGGAGATGTCGTCGGACTCCTCGTCGTGGGCGCGCGCCCTGGTGCAGATCTCGCCCTACACCTTCTCCGCCATCGGCATCATGGCATGGTGAGTCAGCGCTCACCTCCACACCCTATCTCGCTAGATCTGCCACTTCGACAGGTCTTGCTTGCGCCTGCCTGCCTCTCACTGTCCTTGCTATTTGCTTCTACTCTGTATCTTCAGGGGTATCTTCATCACGGGGAGCAGCCTCATCGGGGCCGCCATCAAGGCGCCTAGGATCACATCTAAGAACCTCATCAGGTACGGAATCTGGAGCCTTCGATTCTTATTACATGGGCAAGCTGCTGTTGGTAGAATTGGCTAGGCTAGGGTATCGTGCTGTAGTTCCGCCTGATTTAATTCACCGTCTAGCGGAGATGTCCTCCCTATCTATAGTTAAAATTCCTGTCTGAAGGGGACCGTGACGCCTAAGAGGGGGGGGGGGTGAATTAGGCAACTTAAAATTCTACTTCTTAACTATGGCCACTTTTTCTAACCTTAGCAAAACCTTTGCAAAAGATAAACTATCTAAATGTGCAACTACGGTTTTGCTAGTATGTTGCTATCTCTACTGCAAGAAGGAGCAATACAAACAATGTAAATGCGGAAGCTAAAGAGCAAGGTAGAGATATGCAAACTTTCGTCGATGACTCCGGTATTTTTACCGAGGTATCGAGAAGCGCGCAAGCTTCCCCCTAGTCCTCATTGGAGCCCCTCGCAAGGAATCCCTCGCAAGGGCCAAGCTCTCGGTCGGGTAACTCTGTGGATAGCCTCGGGCCTTCCCCACGCGCAAGTGGGTCTCTGACATGCCTTCCGGTAAGCCTCTTCCAGATGCTTCCCGCCGTCTTCACTATCAAGCTTTCGTTCAAAACGCCGTGGGCCTTGTTCCCTCCGGTACACGGTGGTGGCCACACCACAAACGCGGTTGGTGTGATCTCATAAGACTACAAGCCCCTCCGATGTACAACAATAGTGCGCGCAAGCATCGAGTGGTAAGAGGTATGCAAACCTCACTAAACACTAGGCCTAAACCTAGAGCAAGCGCAAAAGCGGTGGTCTAATCAACCTAAGCACTTCACAAAGGACCTACGCTAATCACCTAATGAATCACTAAGCACTATGCAACTGGGGATCACTAAAATGGTGTATCAACACCCTAGATATGTTTTCTCAGCTCCACTAACTTCAAATGGCCGGTTGGGGGTCTATTTATAAGCCCCACTGAGAAAGTAGCCGTTAAGGACGAAATCCCGCTTTTCTGCCACTGACCGGACGCTGATCACGTCCTGATCGGACGCATCCAGTCGTCCCGGCCATTGGAGCCGCGATCAACTGATCAGACGCTGCCAGCGTCCGGTCACATGCCATCGGACGCGTTCGGTCGCAATTTCGTCGCTCTAGAACCTTTCTGTACTCGATCGGACGCTGCAGTTCTACGTCCAGTCGTTTTACCGCCAGCATCCGGTCCAGCATCCGATCACTGCTGCTGACGCCTGTTGTTGCCGAGCCTCTTGATCGGAGCGTCCGGTCACTTTCCGTCAGCGTTCGATCACCTCTGTGAGTTCGTTTCTTCGCGATCTTGGGTACGGCTTGGTTCCTATCTTCGTGCTTGGACTTTGCTTGATATCTTGGGTCTTCTCTTGTGCTCCTAGGGTCTTACTTATGGTGTTGATCATCGGATCATCACGTCGCCTTTGTCCAAGTCACGTCTTGCACCCTATTGAAGTATAAAACAATCACTTGCAAATTCATTAGCCCAACTTGGTTGTGTTGGTCATCAAACACCAAAATCCAAAGTAAATGGGCCTTGGGTCCATTTTCCTTACAATCTCCTCATTTTTGGTGATTGAAGACAACACGACCAAAGCAAGCAAATAATAAAAACTTGGAATTTAAAAACTATCTACTTGCTAGGATGCAATGCAAGGGGCAAGGTTATATGATGCTAAAATATACTACTTGTAAGACTAGAAGATACCACTTGAACACTTATCTTGCCCTTGCAAAAATCTTCATGACATAGGCTAATCCATAATCCACTATCCTCCCTTTCTCGGACTATTACCACTTGTAGATCATTACTACTTGTAAATTATTATGATCTAGCTTTTGTTCCTTGCAAAATAATGCTTGCTTTTGGTCCTCTAAATTCTCCCCCTTTGGAATCAAACACCGAAAAGGAAGACATTAGTAGCACAAGGGAGGATCAAACTTTGTGATCCTTTGTATGTGGAGTGGAGTGGGTCATAAAATTTGGCTCTCATATTATATAGATTAAGCTCTCCCTAAATATATGCATACATATGGTAGAAGACAAAGCACATGCATAATTGGTAAATTATTGCTCAATGAAATTTATTCTATATAATGCATGGAGAAAGCATATAAATATCAAAATAAAAACAACATGATGATATCGGTTTAGAAATACCACATGTGGAAATCAACTTGATTTCTACCACTTGCAATAGGCGGTGGATATTTGAAGTATGATGCTTAACTCTAGGGACTCAATTTTCCTTGCAATGAGACTACTACACACATGATAAGCTTGAAAAGATGTTAGTCTCAAAGCATCCAACTTGTAGAGTAACCTCCCTCTAAATTTATGCACACAAGTATGGATTACTTGTAGAAAACATGCACATTGATTTTAGAATAAAAAATACCACTTGAAAGATGACATCACATGAATGTGAGAGTCATTTTCAAAGGCGATATTCGGGAGAAATTATCTATAATTTGGACTTTAGCACATATTAGATGAACAATTGTAAGACAAGCTATGTATCGTGCTTCCAAACAATTTAAACCATGTAGGTTTGCTCTAAGGGTTTAAGAATGAAATCGAGCAAGTCTACCATAAGATATACCTAGTGTATGCATGACAAAAGATATAAGCATGCAAATTGCAAACCTAGGCATGAAAAGTAACTAGATACTAAAAGATATCACTTGTAGGAAATTAAATCTAGTACCACTTGAAGAAAATTGAATCTAGTTACCTAACACGGGAATGGGAATTTGGGTCCATAGTATTCACTAACCCACTTGGTAATGATTTTGTCCATCATGATACACCCCATGAAAATGCATCCATACTTTGCCAATTCTCCAAATTCCCCGAAGTCCATTGGACTTCTCACTTCTCTTTCAGGATCCAAACCTTTTTGGTGCTCTTCATATTGGAAATGATCTCCTTTGGCACCCAAAAGCATTTGACCCCATTGTTGGCTTGCTTGTTCACCTTGATGGCCACCACCTTGTCATTTTTCTTCTTCTTCAAGAGATAAGGTGTGGAGGCATTTTTGTCCACCTTATTGGTGTAGGTGTTGGAGAACTTGCTTGTTTGCTTTTTCTCTTTCTTCTTTGCTCCTCCCCCATTCTTCACTTTGTACTCATAGGACTTATGACCTTCTTTGTGGCACACGTAGCAAACCATGGTTTGTCCTTCATCAAGCTTCTTCACTCCCTTGATGGTATTATATTGATGAAGTTGGGCTTGCTTCGCCTTGTCTTTCACTTGAGTCAAGTTCTTGGTGAGGCGAGCTACTTCTTGCTTGAGTTGCTCATTCTCCTTTGCAACCACTTGTGTGCATGTATCTACAACAACTTTCTCAATACAAACTTGGTTGCACAAAGATGAGTCTAAACATAAATCATTACAAGAAGTAGAGGCATCATTTTTAGACATATTAAAGATAGAACTTTTCTTTTTAGATGCCTTGGTGGGGGTTGTACTTATGGCTTCAAGATTAGCAACTTTATTAGTTAGCTCATCACAATGTTTGCACATGGTTTTCATTTTAGCAAGCAAACTTTTATAAGCATCTTGTGAGCTAGCTAACTTTTCTTTTAATTTTTCATTTTTCTTTACAAGTTGCTCATCATTGATTATGCATGCATTTATTGTTGTACTAGCCTCAAGTTGCTCAATTTTAGTAGATAGTTCAATATTGAGATTAGCAAATATCTCATATTGTTCAAGCAAAGTTTTATATGCTTCTTATGAACTATCTAGCTTTTTTTTTAATTTTTCGAGCTTCTTTTGTTGACTAGTACAAACTTTAGCATAATTAAGATTTTGTTGCACAATTTCATCATAAGAAGGCATTTTATCATCACTATCACTCTCACTAGAGGATGAGCTTTTGTTACCTCATGCCATAAGGCACACACGAGAAGAGCTTGATGATGAGTGCTTGCGGCCTCGCCTCTTGTGATGGTGTTCTTCTTCACTTGAAGAATCTTCCCATGACCTTATTGATGTGAGGGCTTGGTTTTTACACGCCTTCTTCTTTGTCTTGGGTGTGGGCTTGTTTGGACAAACTTCCATGAAGTGCCCCAACTCGCCGCATCCATAGCATCCTCTCTTTCTTTACTTATTTCTTTGATTGGTGAAGATGATATCTTGAATTTGGATGGGCACATCCTTGACATTGAGCCTTTAGATCATCTTCTCCACCTTGTTAATAAGTTTGATTGATTCTTCATCAAGGTCGGAGATAGAGGAGGAACATTGATCATCATCACTTGAATCTTCATCATCATCATTATCATCCTCATCTTCTTGTTCATCTTCACTTGAGGAGCTTGAGCTTGTCTCAACTTTCTTGCCTTTCATCTTCTTTTTCTTACTACAAGCGAGAGCTTTGCCTTTGCTTGATGAAGAGGCTTCTTCTTCACCCATCTTGCGTGACATTTCAAATGCCACTATCTTGCCAATGGCTATGGCCGGGGTCATGGTGCTTAAGTCCTCCATGTTGTGAAGGATGGTGAGGATGCTTGCATATTTTTTTGTGGAAGCACGGAGATGATCTTCCTCACGATGTCCGCATCATCTAGCTTTGTTAATCCTATTGAATGGAGCTCATTGATAATTAGATTCAAACGAGAATACATATCATGAACAAGTTCATCATCATTCATTGTAAAGGAATCATAATTTTGTTTAGCTAGACAATATTTTTAATCAAATTAGATGTGCCGTCATGGAGCTCTTGAAGTTTTAACCAAATTTCATGTGCCGTATTTAAAATGAACATTTGGTTAAACACATCCATGCTAAATGATTCAAACAAGCAATTCTTAGCTCTAGCATTGAAATACATTTCCTTTTCTTCACTCTTTGTGGGCTTATTAGGATTCTTAATTGGTTTCATCCCGTCACGAGTAACTCTCCAAACACCCATATCAACTGCCTCAAGGTGGCAAGCCATTCTAGCTTTATAATAGTGAAAGTTAGTGCCGTCGAAGTGCGGAGGCCTAGAGGTATCCATCCCAACCACTCTAAATAGTGTTGGCTCAACGGGCGGTTAAGCCAAAGGTCCAAATTGAGCCAACCAGCTCTGATACCACTTGAAGGGGACCGTGACGCCAAAGAGGGGGGTGAATTAGGCAACTTAAAATTCTACTTCTTAACTATGGCCACTTTTTCTAACCTTAGCAAAACCTATGCAAAAGATAAACTATCTAAATGTGCAACTATGGTTTTGCTAGTATGTTGCTATCTCTACCGTAAGAAGGAGTAATACAAACAATGTAAATGCGGGAGCTAAAGAGCAAGGTAGAGATATGCAAACTTCCGTCGATGACTCCGGTATTTTTATCGAGTTATCGAGAAGCACGCAAGCTTTCCCCTAGTCCTCGTGGAGCCTCCCCCTAGTTATCGAGGTATCGATGACTTCCAGATGCTCCCCGCCATCTTCACTATCAAGCTTCCGATCGAAACGCTGCGGGCCTTGTTCCCTCCGGTACACGGTGGTGGCCAAACCACAAATGCGGTTGGTGTGATCTCACAAGACTACAAGCCCCTCCGATGTACAACAATGATGTGCGTAAGCACTGAGTGGTAAGAGGTATGCAAACCTCACTAAACAATAGGCCTAAACCTAGAGCAAGCGCATAAGCGGTGGTCTAATCAACCTAAGCACTTCGCAAAGCACCTACGCTAATCACCTAATGAATCACTAAGCACTATGCAAGTGGAGATCACTAAAATGATGTATCAATACCCTAGATATGTTTCCTCAGCTCCATTAACTTCAAATGGCCGGTTGGGGGTCTATTTATAAGCCCCACTGAGAAAGTAGCCGTTGAGGACGAAATCCTGCTTTTCTGCTACTGACCGAACGTTGATCACGTCCTGACCGGACGTGTTCGGTCGCAATTTTGCCGCTCTGGAACCTTTCTGTACTCAATCGGACGCTGCAGTTCTGCGTCCTGTCGTTTTGCCGCCAGCGTTCGGTCACTGCTGCTGATGCCTGCTGTTGCCGAGCCTCTTGATCGGAGCGTCCGGTCACTTTCCGCCAGCGTCCGGTCCAGCGTCCGGTCACGTCTTGCACCTTATTGAACTACAAAATAATCACTTGTAAATTCATTAGTCCAACTTGGTTGTGTTGGTCATCAAACACCAAAATTTAAAGTAAATGGGCCTTGGGTCCATTTTCCTTACACTGTCCATTGATTGAATTCACCGTCTAGTGGATTTGTCAAGTGACAATGTGATATATTTAATTCACCAACTAGCGGAGATGTCCTCCCTGTCTATAGTTAAAATACTTTCATAATATATACAGCTTTCACTATTTAAACTAGTATAATTTTTTATAAAAAAAATGCAAGTCAGCTTTACATTGGAGACCATGTCACTCTTTTTAATGACCTACATTTGGAATCAGAGGGAGGAGGTCTGGTGTATGGTAGGAAAGACTTTTATTTAGTTGTTTATTGTTGAAGGGAAAAACATGTACCAGGGCATGTTTTTTTTTTCTCTCTCTCGTAATCTTTGGAGACACTGGGTATTTCTTGATCCACGATGCTCCTGTTAGTGTTGGTGGTTCAAAACTTTGATTCATAGGTACTGTTGTTTGACAAGTACTCCACATATAAACATTCCAAGCCACGCACTACCATGCTTAAGTTCATTTGGTGCAATTTTTAGCTTTGCTTTTCTTACATTTACGTGGCTAATACGGTCAAGTTCTTCTGTTGATCTTCTTGGTTCCAATCATGGTCCTTTGTCTATCTCAGCATCTGTTGGTTTCCTTTCGCTCTTATCCTTTTGTTGTTGTTGTTGTTGTGTGTTGGTGGATATGTTCAATAGAGCTCTAGCTGTACAACTAGATTGTAATATATTCTTATTGCACTAATGATGATGAGGTGCTAGGACAGATTAATAATTGAAAACGTTTGATCACACTTTCTTGTGATCATCATATGTGTAGTGTAAAGTTTCATTAGAAATTCATAAGAATATGTAGAACAACTCTTTGCTAGAAGAGAAAGCATACCCATTCATTTGGTGGTTAGGAACACAATTGAGTTTTGATTACCTCATTTTTAGATATCTTGGCGAGCATTGCGGTATTCATCCGGTAATGTTAGATTTTTTCCGCTCCAGTTTTTAAAGTATGCCATGTTTCCCATATTATTATCCAATAGCAATGGTAGAAGTAGAACCTTAGTTTAGGGACTTTGGAACTGCAGTGTTGTTTACATCATGTCTTTGTTTCCACCGTTCGAGAATTAGATAAATGCTTTTTTTACCTAGAATCATTCATTCGGGCATCTGGTAATTTATTTCCCCCCCAATGCCTTTGAATGGCTTAACCAAACAAGCTCACTTGTGTCATGCCTATGATATATAGCTCACTTGTATCTATGAATATACTCTATAAACAGTATAGAACAATAGAATCATGGATTAATGGGATTGAGAGTTGTTTAGTTGCCCGAAGCAACATCTTGCATTTGATTGAATGGATACATGCTAAAGTTATATCTGACAGCCAGATTCACACCTACATATTTGTATACCCTCAGTAAACAAACACCATATGATGTTCTCATTCTTGCATCTGCCTTGTTTTGCTGTTTTCTTGGCGAGCAATGAACATGGCACTTAGACATAAGGAATGCAACAAGCTCGAACTTCATATTAGAAATTTATATTTTCATCGAGTCATAAACTATTGTTCTTTATAGTTTCTTCATTTTTTAAATCATAATCTCCATGTGCTTTTGCTTTTTCAGTGTCATCTTCTGTGAGGCTGTTGCAATTTATGGTGTAATTGTGGCAATCATTCTCCAGACAAAGCTTGAAAGTGTGCCAACATCTCAAATGTATGCTCCGGAGTCTCTTCGAGCTGGCTATGCAATCTTCGCATCTGGCCTTATTGTTGGCTTTGCTAATCTTGTTTGCGGGTAGGCACCAGGCTCTCCATCTTATTTCCTCTGGTGAATTTATGCTGCAGTTCCAGATGATTAAATTTTCTATTTACATAGTATGCATGGGGATAATTGGAAGCAGCTGTGCACTTTATGATGCTCAGAACTCATCACTCTTTGTAAAGATCTTGGTGATTGAGATCTTTGGCAGCGCTCTGGGACTGTTCGGAGTCATTGCGGGCATCATTATGTCTTCTCAAGAGACATGGCCAGCAAAAGCTTGATTTTCACCATTAGTAGCTCTGTAAATTATTCGGATGGAATGTATCGGAATGTGCATGTCGTCCGATGCGACACACATATATATATATATATATATATATATATATATATATATATATATATATATATATATATATATATATATATATATATATATATATACACTACATATAGCTAGCTACAAAATAACTTATTCTGTAGCCACTTTGAGTTACGATAATTACTATGTTAATTTACGAGATTATAGTAATTCCTTGCTAAGTGGTTTACTATAACGTTATAATAAATATCCATATTTGTTATAGTAACCCAACTATCATAAATATGTATTGATATTATCGTAAATTAGTATATAAAATTATCGTAAATGGAGGTGGCTACATAATAACTTATTTTGTAGCTGGCTACTGAATATACTCTCCATATATATATGTGTGTTCTGGTCGAATTTGAATTGTAAATTTGAATTTTTTTACGGAAAACATACTGTAGGAGCGGTTCTAGGCTGAACCGCCCCTACAAACATGTATTATAGGGCCCCCCTAGAAATTGATTTGTAGAGGCGGCTGATAACACCAGCCGCCTCTACAAATTGATTTATAAGGACGGTCTGGGAACCGTCTCTACAAATGCATGATTTATAAAGACGTTATGGTAGGGGCGGTTGGCCGAGCCGCCTCTACAAAGCCTCACCAGCCACCCCTATAAATCATTCCTATAGTAGTGTACGTCAAGTTCGTCGAGGCCGGCGGCGCGCGCGTCATCCCGATCATCTACAGTGAGCCCGAGGAGCGCCTGCTCGAGGTGCACGTTTCGCACATTGCCTCTCGTTTCTAACCTTTACTCCCTTCACCGGTCGTGTTCTCGCAGAGAGCTCGAGATAGTATAGATTTTGGGCATGTTTGCTACAGCTCAGCTGTGAATCAGTTTTTACTTCAGTTCTAGGAAAGCTAAAACTGTTTTCATAAACCATGGGTAAACCAGCTTTTCATGATAGGTAGCAGAGAAAAAGCTAAGAAAAACTAGTATTTTTATATTCACCTAGAGATATGTGCATATGAGAGGAGCTGAAAAAAAGATTTGAAGAATAAACTGTTTTTATCCTGTTTGGTACATAAAGCTAAAAATAGTTTTGTGAAGCTGTGCTAGAAGCTCTACCAAACATATGGCTCTTGGCCCACTGCATTGCGGTTTTGCGCCTTGAGCTATGTTAGTTTCTAGTCCAATCAATAAAATACTCGAGCCGTCCTTGAAGTTGTGACAAAAATGTTGCAGTTACCTGGACTCTCAAAATGTATTTTCTGATCCTAAGCTTATTATAGAGTATTATCTAACTCTCAAACACTACGGAATCCTAAAATTTACCGAGTGTTTTTATATTTGCCGAGTGTATTCCCTCAGGCACTCGGCGAACAAGTTCTTTACCGAGTGTCGCGCTAAAAACACTCGGCAAAAAGCAAACACTCGGCAAACTGGGCGTTTTGCTGAGTGTCAAAACAAAAACACTCGGCAAAGACGTTGTTTGCCGAGTGTTAAAAAAATACACTCGGCAAAGAAATAAAAATCTTTTTTTCTAGAAAAGAAAGAGAAGAAAAAAATGAAAAAAAAACTTTGCTGAATGCTCAGATCTAAAACACTCGGCAAAAAAGTAGGAGAAGAAAAAAATTAAAAAAAAACTTTGCCGAGTGCCCCATCTAGGACACTCGGCAAACAAAAAAATATACCTACTTAACCTAACCGCGTCCCCAGCCCCCCACCCGCGCCCTCCCGTCCCCACCCCTTCTCTCTCCTCCCGGCCCCCAGCGCCCCCTCTCCTCCCGACGGCGCCGCCTCCCTCCCCTCCTCTCCTGGCCGCTCCCTTCTTCCCTGCCCCTCCCTTCTTCCCCGGCGTGGCCTCCCCACCGGCGAGATCCGGCGGCCGGTGCCGTCCCCTCCCTCCCTCCCTCCCCCAACGGCGAGATCCAGGGAGGGGCCCCGGCGACGCACCCCAGGCGGTGGTGGAGGGGTGGCCCGACGTTGTGGGCGCGGCACGGATCCATGGCGTGGCGTCTCTCTCCCTCCGGCGGCGCCCTCTCTCCTCCCTCCGGTGGCGGCGTGGCGCAGGGAGGCCGGACCCGGTGGCAGCGCGGCGCGGGGAGGCCGGATCCGACGGCGGCGTGGCATAGGGAGGGCGGATCTGGTGGTGCCCTTTCTCCCTCCTGCGGCGCCCTCTCTTCTCTCTCCCTCCGATGGCGGCATGGCACGGGGAGGCCATATCCGGTGGCGGCGCGGCGCTGGGAGGCCGGATCCGGTGGCGGAGCGGCGTGGGGTGGCTGATGCTTTTTTTATTTTTTTCAAAAAATATTTGCCGAGTGTTTTTGGGGCACTCTGCAAAGTCTTCGCCGAGTGCCCGACGGAAAACACTCGGCAAACACAACGTTTGCCGATAAACCAGTTGCCGAGTGTAACACTCGGCAAACGGTTTGCCGAGTGTTTTGGGGGCCTCCTGTATTCGGTAGTGAAAATAGCATTTCAAGTCCCCGTATTTGTCACGATTGTCATTTAGATCCCGAACTTAACATAGAACGTTATCTATTTAGAATTACATCTTTTCTGGAACTAGGGGATTAATCGATTGGTGTGGTTGCCCCTTTCACACGTTAATTTTTTTCTAACACGTGTTAGCTATTGTCTACTCTTCCCTGCAGAAGTTGAGTTTGGTGAATGGCTTGCTGTTCACTGGTGGATCAGCGAAGCTAGGCCTATATTTTGAGACAATAAAAAAGTCTTTCAGGTATGATGCGTGATTATGAACACTGTTAGAAATTAATACAATCGATATATTCGCAACAACTGGGTCACAATTGGGTGCTATGTATTATTTTCTTCTAATGATGTTATTAATAGCATTAGAACATCTCACTCCAGTATCACAACCACAGATTTATCTATGTTGAATGCTCCAGCTTGAACGATATTGAACAAAATAATCATGACTTACTGTCGGTGTTTCGAGTTACCACCGACGAGTAAATTTCTAGTATTGCGCGTCTGGCTTGGATGGTGTGCTTAGAGGACACGTGGTTTATACTGGTTCGGGCAGAAAGTCCTTACGTCCAGTTCGTCGTTGCTGCTCGTGTTACTAGCACTGAAAGTTTATAGTAGGGGTTATAAACAAGCGAGAGAGGAAAATGATCCTAAGTCTCTGGTGAAAGGAGTGAGTGGGTGCTGAGAGCTCGATCGCTGCTCAGCTGTGCGTTCGTGTCGTGCTCTTGTGCGGATCTGTATCGGATCTTGATGGGTCGATTGGTTCGGGATCCTCTTCATAGGGCGCCATGCTTTCTCTTTTATAGGCCAAGGAAAAGCACGGGTTATAGCGAAGGAAAAGGAGAAGAACGAGAGAGAGGAAGGCCTCCAGAATCGTCGTGTCCTTCTTCTCCTTCATACGGGTCCCGCTGACCCTATAGATGTCAACAGGGACGGCTCCACATCGTGGTCCTGTCCATCACTGGCGCCATGCGCTGGCGTCATCCGCCGTCATGGCGCTCCACTCCGTCCTGGCGGACGTCGTTGTGAACTGACGCGCCAGTCAGTGTTCGTACGAGGGTTAGGCAGAACAGCACCGGTACGTCCGATGCTATTCTTGATGTGAATCCTCAGGTATGGCCCGTCGTGGCCGTGGGTTACATCGGGGCGTGCCGGTCTCTTTCTTGGCGTCAGAGTTTTGACCTAGGCCCATACGCTTGGACCTAGAGTGGTCGGTGGCGGTATGGGTCCCCGTCGGGTGAGGCGGAGCCCGCACCCAAGGGGTCTGGCGAGGCGGAGCCCGCGGTCTTGGGGTCGGGCGAGGCGGAGCACAAACCCAAGGGTCGGGCGAGGCGGAGCCCGCAACCTTGGGGTCGGGCGAGGCGGAGCCCGTACACCTGGGGGTCGGTTGGAGCTGTAGGCGCGCTCTTGACTGCTCGGTTGAATCAATGTTGATGATCATTAGCTCCTCATCTTCGGGTACCCTAGTATTGGTCCCCGAAACTTACTCTAACTGTTCCTCTTTTATTATTTGTTCATTTTATAGTATGCTTTGGACAAGAATGACACGGGTGAACAATTTCCTTTGTTTGCCCAATGTCTCATGATTGTCAGTAAGGTATCTTAACTTTTCACAAATTTACTATATTGCAAGTTTCATTACTAAAATATATTCCTTCTGCTCTAAATTGTAAGTTATTTTAGCTTTGAGCTAAGTTAAATTTCTCCAGTTTTGATCATGTTTATAGAAAGATGCATAAACATCTACAACATCAAAGAATATGCACTACAAATATATTTTGTGCATTACAAATTTAATCAAAATTAGACAAATTCAACTTAGTACAAAACTAAAACAACTTACAATTTGAAATAGAGAGAGTAAAAGATAATTGGCCAACTTATTAACCATTGTAAAATCGATAAAATTGTACGCATGATGGAAGACTAATGGTTAGTTTGAAGTAAGGATATCTTTTGCTTGCCTGTTGTTAGGTACTGGAGCAAAGTGCTGCAGCCTTCTATTCCATGAAGGCACCATGATTGATTCCTATTTGCTTTGACAAGTAGGCCCTAATAATTATTCTTTTGCTGTTGTGCTAGGACAATAATATCTGGGAGAAATTTGACGCCCTGAATCAAACATCTACTCTTCAGTTTCCCAGTTAGGATTTCGAGGGCTCAGTGTTTCAAAGGTGCCTGTTTCATGCTAACCAAGTCTTCTATTTGTTACTGCAATACTGCTTGATGCGAACATTTAGAATTTAGACAAGTTATCCTATAGTGCGAGAGATGGGGCAAGTAAATGTTATATAGGATGGTTCGTCCCACGGGACAGCGCGCATCTTTCTATTACCGTGTTAACAAAACTGAGACTGTGTTTATTTCCCCCCTAGACTCTCTTATCACATCGGATGTTTGACATATACATAGAGTATTAAATATAGACTAATTATAAAACTAAATACACAGATTGAGACTAATTTATGAGACGAATTTTTTAATCCTAATTAGTCCATCATTTGACAATATGGTGCAACAGCAAACATGTGCTAATGACGAATTAATTAGGCTTAATAAATTCGTCTCGTGGATTACTGAGGACTTGTGTAATTTGTTTTATTATTTCTATTCGAACACTCGATGTAATATCTAATGTGACACCCCTAAACTTTAGCCCCTGAATTTAAACACCTCTAACCGTAGAATATGCAAATAGGTTAAGCCAACGTATTTATGTATTCATATAACTTCATAAATTACTCATACAGAACTTACTTTTATCTCCAATGGATCACTACATGAATAAATGCAGTACAATAGAGCTCGGTTAATTTGAAGAATGGAACGGAAATAAATTGCTTATGAGAAGATGTGGCAAGTACACATATAGTGAATTCCACTTGTTCTAAGGCCCCGTTTGGCCGGGCTCTGGGCAGCTTCGGCTCCTGCCGCGTGAATCACTGTAGCTGCACTATTCATCAAAGCCGTTTTTCTCTCTCCTCCTTTCCTCTCACTGACACCACCGGAGCTGGAGAAGCTCGTTTTCGTAGCTTCCGTGGCTCCGACTACAGTGTCGCTATAGTGTAGGAGTCGGAGAAGCTTGTTTTCGTAGCTTCGTGGCTCCGACTACCGTGTCGCTACAGTGTAGGAGTCGAAGAAGCTCGTTTTCTAAGCTTCCGTGGTCTCTGGCTACAGTGTCGCTACAGTATAGAAGCCGGATGACACAGGAGTCCGGCCAAACGGGGCCTAACTACTGACTGGCAAGTGCTCAAAGGTTTGACCCTGACCTCATCAAGAAAGTCAGCACCAGCTGTCTTGTCATGCAACAGCATAAAGTAAGTGCCACCATTGGTGCTGCTTACCTTTTTTTTTTAATTTCAGCACCGCACCTACTTTCTCATGGGCTGGGTTCAATGCCTCAATCCTTGCCGATCCTTGTATGGCTGCTGGTTCTGATAGCATTACAGAACAACCAAACTTAGTTCCAAATTCAAGTCCCCTAACATGTCTGCTTTGTTATTGGGTGAAGTATGGTATATCACCAAGGCGATTGCAAGAGAACGATGCACTGTCAAGTTTCTTCAAAATCTTGACTACATCACCTGATGAAAACGGCAAGGTATGTTACAATTGTGCTACTACATACTAATCTATGGTGTTAAGTCATTAGTATAAGGCTAAGCAGAACAACTTTGGTGAGTTTGTTCTAATGTTCCCCATGTAGCTTCTCTGGGTTAATGCTCATCAATTCTTCCGATGCGTAAATTAACATTCTTTTGTTTGTATAAAATCAGGTCTATGTCTCAACTGTACAAGCCCACAACTACCCAATCACTTGCACGCAGTGGCACCCTGAGGTATTTTAGTTGCAGGTGTTTTGGGAGTTTTCATATTATATGTTCTTATTGCATCTGCCTTTTTTTCGGCGCACTGCATTTTCTTGAATTAATATTCATAGCATATCAAATTATGGCTACTCAGACTGTCTCCAACAAGGAACCCAAATAGGCACTCAAACCCAAAATAGGTAGCAAGAGACCCAAAATTAGCCTCCAACAGAGTACCTAAACGGAGACCTATTTTGGGTTGCCTGAGAGGCACAACCCAAATATGGGCATCCTCTCTCCTGAAAACCCATTTACAGAAATGATTCTCTTTTGGGTCTTGTCGTTGAAGAAGATGTCGAATAGGTATTAAACATTTTGCCTATAACGCTACCCAAAGGATAAATGGGTCTTGTATTTTGAGTGTTGTTGTTGGAGATAGCCTCACCAAATACCAATGGTTTTTTTTTTAATAAGGGAATAAAGTTCTAGACTCTACCATACCAATGACTTTATATAACTATAAAAATGTCCTCACTTAATGCAGAAAGCCATTTTTGAGTGGAGGAACCCAGGGATTCCACACAGCGAAGATGCAGTACAGGTTACTCAACATTTTGCCAATCATTTTATCAGGTTTGTTGTTGTAGGCTGTAACCTTTTATTTATACATTTGAAGTTAGGGAATACTTCATTTGGGGTTATTTCTGGGTCTACCCACCATCTTTATGTGGAAATGTACCAGAAATTGATTAAACACTACACGCCTTTCCTTTTGCTGCCTGTCACTCTTGGTCTCTTACCTTTGAAAGTTCAGTTTTTTAAATATAAATAAACCCAAGTTTTAGTAGTGTTCCTTCTAAGGAATGGATATATTCTACACGCTTCGAATTTTCTTTTCAGATGGAACCCTCCTTCACATGGATGGTTCAGTGTTGTCGCCCGTCCGTGGACCGTAGGTGGGGACCGTGGGACGCACCGTCGCCGGCGTCCACCTTGGGCTTGTCTGCAACTGCAAACGGTCGTCCTGAGGACAATACGCTGGTCACCAGACATGAGCTCAACCGGCGAACGTTGCGCCGGCTGCAAGAATGCTCGCGCGATTAATGCGCGCCCCGCGAACGCGGCTTCGACGACGCCGTCTTGAGTTCTGCGCGTCTCTGGCCCCTGATGCACAGGCAAGTAGGCAACGGGTGCGCCCGCGCGACGAAGCAGCATGGCCGCCGTCGCGCGCGCCGTTGTAGCATGCAGCGGCACGCGGTGACGGAAGAAGAACAAAACGGACAGCGGAATTCCCCCTGTAATCCCATGAACGTGCTACGAACGTACAGTATTTTATCAAGAAGAGGGAGCGGTTACATAGTATTTTATCAGGCACGTGAAGAGGAGCGAATTTAAATCTGAAAGTGATGTTTTTTTATAAATAAATATATATACGGCGTGATGAGCCAACAACCCAAAGTCCCTACAGCATGCGCCAAAGCACGGCGGATGAGATGGAGACGACAGACATAGTGTGTGATCGAAGTCAAGACTCAAGAACCTGAGGCCAGACAAGAGCCGAGCTGGCAACGCCTCCCAAGTCCCAATGGAGTTGGAGTCTCCCCAGCTGCTCGCTTCCCTCCTCGGCGCCGCTGCCGTGCGCTCTTCGCCGACGCCGGAGGCCATCCGGCTGCCGAGCACGGCGGGGCACGCCCAGCAGGCCTGCGCCGCCGCGCCGGCGGACCCCGCCGTGTACGAGTACGACCGGCCGGTCATTGGCATCGTGACGCACCCGGGCGATGGCACTTGCGAGATGCGCACCCACGGCCCCGGCTCCTACATCGCCGCCTCCTACGTCAAGTTCGTCCAGTCCGCCGGCGCCCGCGTCGTCCCGCTCCTCTACGACGAGCCCGAGGAGCGCCTCCTCGAGCTGCGTGCTTCGGAGGCTGCCTGCCATAGTGCCATTTCTCTTTCGCTCTCGTCCTGCCTGAATATGCAACTGCACTGTTTGCTCATTCCTTATTGGTCTTTGCCCCTTTTAATTTCCTGCAGAAACTGGGTTTGGTGAATGGCGTGCTGTTAACTGGTGGATCACACAAGAATGGTTCATATTTTGAGACTATCAAAAGAGTTTTCCAGGTACATCATGAACATCGATTCATTTCCAGGTACATTTCATGAATTGCCCTTCATCGATTCAGTTGATTGCAATGGGAGAGAAAGCTTGCTGGAAACATTTGTGTGTGTGGCTGTAGAAATTGCCCTTCATTTCTTTTATTTTATCTCTCTTGAAACAACTATGGAAGAGCTTTTATTCCAGTTGATTGCATGTGGCTCCTTTGGTTGGGCTTTTTTGGCACGTTTCAGTTTCACGACTTTGCAGTAGCTATTTTACTGTATAATAATAAGCCTCCATAAGAGTCTTCATGATTTCCTTTCCTCAGTATGTTTTGGACAGGAATGATGCAGGAGATCCATTTCCTTTGCATGCCTGAGTGTCTAAGCTTTGAGCTTGTAAGCATGATTGTTTTTCTCCAACGTGCCACACGGTATTCATTAAGTAGAAGGAGAGTTTTACAAATTAAAGTTGTGACGATAATTTATGATTACTGAGTCAAACACTGACAGAGATCACACAGTTGTGATTTATAAAAGAAAATACTTAGCGACCAAGAGAAGGATCAAGCATAGGGACAAAACCCAGCAGGCCCTGAGCTAAAGAGCGTCGTGCTCGAAGCCAGTGAGGTTTAGCTCCATGGCAACCGGATCAAAGTCTGTAGCGAAGAGCGCCTGAAGGGCCTCTTGTTTCGAGGGCGACAACGGTGCAGCGAAGAAGGCCTTGATATTGTCCAAAGCCACAGGGTCCGGACCCTGCGGCATATTCTGCGATCCCTAGCTTTTGCTTGAGCACATTTTGTGCTTGGACAAGTCGGGTTGGAGGCTTTGGTCTTAGCAGCCAGCCTCCCATTCCGACGCACCGACATCACCATTGAAGGTGTCCTGGACCTTCTCAGCCTCAGCTTGCTGAGCAACGGGGTCTCGAGCGGGATGCATAGCCGCGCCTCCAATTGTGCCAACAGGGACACCTCAGCCGATGGAGGTTGAGCGTTGTGGCCTTCATCGTCAATCGATGATCCACGATTGTGCCTCAACAGCTCAAGCTCTGTAACCTCCGAATCCGGCAGAGGCGTCCACGGCCGTTTCCTGCCCTGAGCAGAGTGACGCGGGGCCAAGTCAGCCGATGACGACGAGATCTCACCAGCGATACGCCGTAGAGGCCATCGGATGGTGCACTAGCTCGGCCATCGATATGGGCGGTGCCGCGTTGTCGACGCCCGGATGGCCAACCCGCGTTGGCGTAGAAGCGGCTGCCTAATCCGCAACGCCGTGTTGTCCCACCCGTGGTGGCGTGACTTGCAGCATCTCCAGCTCAAGGCGACAACGGGGTGAATCCGTCGTTAGGGAGGCGCCCGCCGGAGTAGTGGGGCACTAAGGCATTGTTGGTCCCGCTAGCCGGCTCGCGATGAGCGAGGCGGTGAGATCCTCCAGCATCGAGTCAACCCACGCGGGAGGCCCCGCACCCGCGTAGGGCTCCAAGACCAGCGGGTCCGGCTCAGGAAAGCAAGCGGCGGCAGAGGCTTCGCCCGGTGCCGCCGGAGCGGCCCGTGCCGACCTCTCGAGACGCCTTCATCGTTGGTGTCACTGGCCGCCACTGGCAAGAACGACGCTGTCCGGCATGGTCTCACAAGCGCCATGCGAAGCACCGTGGTCCGCCGACCGAGCATCGGAGTTGCTGGTGGGCTCACTGTGGCCCTCCCTGGTAGCACAGTCGGATGTGGCAGCGGTTTTCGATGCGCAGCGGTGCCGGTGGCCTCACCGTAGTCGGCTGCAGCGTCGCTGGGGAAGTCGGTGTTGTGTAGCACCGGCTGTCTCCGGCGTCTTGTTTGCCGCCGCCTCGTTCTCCTCCGCCGCCTTCAGCCGACAGACGCAGGAGTAGTCGACGCAAGCGCGGCTCCACCCGCCTCCACCGGACCACCGTGGGCGGGTGGGGGTGGCGGGTAAGGTCCCGAGCAAGCGGTCATGGCCGGCCGCCTATACCGGTAGCTATAGGAGGCTTCCACCGTCGCTGGTCCCCACCGTCCGCTGGCCGAGAATCGGAGTTGCTGGCACGAACCGGGCGCGGCCGACGACCCACAGCGCCGACATCACTCGAGCTCCCAGAGCCAGCATGCTGTGGCCACTTTTTGCCGTTGTTCACCGGCGAACGAGGCCGCTTGTAGTCCCTGGCCAGGTGTCGGAACTCATGGCAGTGCAAGCATCTCGGCGGCAGACGGCAGGTGGCAACCCTGTGGGTGTATGACAGGCAGTTGAGGCACCTGTTGTGTAGCGCGTCTGGGAGGTGGCGACGTCGATGTGGCCGAGGTGCTCTCGCAGCGGCGGCGTTCCGCTGGCCAACAGGATTACGAGACAGGACCTCCTGCCATCTGTTGGCGTCGGGTGCTGAGATCCGGCGACGACCGTGAGGTGGCACACGGTGACCAAGCCTGAGGTAGGTGGGGACGCGCTCATCGCCGGACTGAGAGCCGCCGTCGACCCGATTCCCCAACCTCAAGTGCACAGGGACGCGCTCCTGGTTGGCACGCAGTGCGGTGTTCGCCCCACGACCGTCGCTAATAGCGCGGTTCCCCTCCTCCTCCTCTGGCGCCGTGCCCGGTGGCCTGGCGACAGCCGAGATCTGGACCGCCTCCACCGGCTGCTCTTTGACAAGCCGGGTGCCAGGGTGGGAGCTAGGCCGCACCCTATCTGCGAAGGCCCTCCGAGCTGGGGAGCCCTAGCGGACGACGTCGAGGTAGGATGGCTGCGGCACCGGAGAGGAGATGGACTCGCAGTCTGAGTCGGAGCAGTCCGATAGCTCCATCCAACGCATGGATTTGGAGCGACCGGGGGTTCCGCCGGGGTAGAAAGCGCGGCCCCTTGTTTGTTGAGGCTCGGTGGGGGCTTTGGGAGGCCGCCGGTGCCGAGCTGGTGGTCGGCGGGCTAGGTGGCGGGGCGGGGGCGGGGGCCGCCCTAGCGCCGATGTACGCCGCGTGCGGCTGCATCCGAGCGCCTACTGCAGGTGAGCCACCAGATCCGGCGCATGCCGCGGGCAGGCTGCAGAGATCCGGCGGGCCGCGGCGCCAGGTATGGTCGGGTTCGGCCCCGCGTAGGTGCGCGCGGTGGCCCGGGACCGGCACCTGCATCTGCGGTGCCCTCGGTGGTGTGCAGGGGAGGTGGGGGTGGTGGGAGGGAGGAGGTGGGGGGCGCCGGCGCCTGGATGGCGGCCGGAGCCACCGGCGGGGAGTCCGTCGGGGCATTAGGGTGGGCGGGGAGAGGTAACAATGAAATCAAATCAAGAATCTGGAGGGGACCCGACTTGCTTCGCCCTCGGGGCAACTGTGCCGCGGATTCTCATTTCTCCCTAGCGGTGTCTGCATGAAGGAGTGTCGAAGGAGCAAAGAAAGCCTGGTGGCAACGGAGGTCTTGTCGGTCATGGAAGGTGCGCTGCAGCGCCACTGCTTGCCGCCGGAGCGCGGGCAACGATGGTCCTGCGGCACCGGTGCACAGCCAACCCCGCCGCCGCGTCGAGTCACTGCAGTTCCACCACCATGACGAACGAGATCTAGGTCGCTTCAGCTAGAGGCCTGCTCCTCCGCCCGCTGTCACAGCTGGACGTACGATCTGGGGAGGAACGCGGAGCGACGGGCGTGCTTGGGGATGGACCCGAGGCACTGTTCCATCAGAGACTCAGAACGCTGGCAACGCAGGTCCTCCGGCACGACGCTGACCTTTGCGTGATCGCTGGAGGGGCTTAGCTCGTAAGCATGATTGTCTGCAAGGTGATTTTACTACTTTTGTTTTTTATAAACCAGAAAACAAATCTCTCAAAGGCCCTGTTCGGATGGTACGGTTCTGGAGGAATTTGGATGGTTTGGAGAAATCTGTGAGAGAAAAACACTATTCTAAATGAAAAAAGAAGCGGAAGTCGGTTTAAGGGCAGGCGATAAGGGCCAAAGTCTAATCCAATTGCTGAAATATCATAGTTATTATTCCTTGTCAGTTATTGTGTTTACAAAATCGGTTGCCTTATACCCAGTGAACGAGAACAGTGTTCAATTGGAAATTAAGAAGTATTTTTGTTCTTCTCTCTGTTATTAAGTCACAGTAAAGCAAAGTGCTGCAGTCTTCTATTCCTTGGAGAGGCCAAGTTCTTGTTCAGTTTGGACAAACTGAGCACTAATGTTCTTTTACCATGGTACTAGGACAACAATATTTTGGAGTCATTCCACGCCTTGAATCAGCCATCTTCTCTCCAGTTCCCCAATTATTCCTTTCTCGAAGGGTCAGTGTTTCAAAGGTAGCTGCTGCAAGCTCAAGCATTTTTTTCTTTTTTTGAATTGGCTACTGATTGCTGCGGTTTTTAGGAAGCTATTTTTTGTTGAACCTAATAGTACAAGATGATGCAAGTAATTTTTGTTTTCTTTACAGAAAAACTGCAGTTTAACTAAAATGTCATGATTTGTTCCTGGTATGACTGTGTATGTTTAGTGCCATGTTGGCAAAACTCAACGCATAGCATATGCAACTGGTGTGTATTATGCATTTAGTTAATTTCAGAGATGAATAATACGACATAACTATACCTTGAAATGAATCCCTGCAGAACAGGGGATACATGATGACACGATCAAACACACACGCAAACAGAGTAGACCAGAGAGGATGAAATGCCGTCACTCTTAAATGTTTTATATCCAAAGATTCACTGTCCGTGATCCTGTATCAATGTTCTACGTGTTCTCTTCATGAATTTCTAATTTTTCTTTTTTGTAGCCTCACTACCGAATGATGATTGAAATTCACAGGTTTAACCATGAACTCATCAAGAAACTGAGCACCGACTGCCTTGTCATGCAAAATCATGGAGTATGGCAACCTTGGTTCTGCTTACTTTTTTTTTTCTACGACAACACCATAGCAACTTTCATGCACTAATACCAGTTCTATCACATGGATAGAAATTCTAAAAAGCATCCTTACACAGAACAATGAATCATTGCTGCAAATACAAGTTCCATAA